TCTTCCGAGGAACACCGTCTTCATACTCTAGACGTCAAGAGAGCCATACTCTTCTACCTTGATAGGACAAGGTCATTCCGTCAGTCACCAGCCTTGTTTGTCTCCTATAGCACACCTGTGCTGGGGAAGAAGCTCTCTTCGCAGTGTCTATCCAGGTGGATTGTGGAAACCATCAAACTCTGCTACGTACTGATCAAACGGCCACTTACGGGCCTGCTCTGAGCGCATTCCACCCGGGCAGTGGCCACGTCCACAGCCTTCCTGAGAGGGTCGTCGCTCACTGACATCTGTCAAACAGCAACCTGGGCTACCTACCACACGTTAGTGAAGCATTACACCCTGGATGTGCGTCTTCATCAACGTTCTGTGGTGGGACGGGCAGTGTTGCAGGTGGCGCAAGTCTAGGACCTTCAGCTCCCTCCTCCAGGTAGGCCTGTTCTTGCTTGCTAATCTCCCAGAGGTATGATGGACAGAGACCACTCGAAGATAAACAGGTTGCATACCTGTAACTGATGATCTTCGAGTGGTCATCTGTGCATTCACACCACCCGCCCTCCTTTCCCTCTGCTCTCTGTCCTTTCCTTTTTATTACTCTGAGACTGATGGTAGTGGTCAGAAGGAACTGGCGGGATTGTCATGCCCCTCCCTTGGTCATGCGCAGTGGGGCCAGTGTGTGACTGGGGAGGGGGTGTGAAAATCCCTTTCGCTTTCAAAAGGAACCAGTCGAGGTCAGCGCAGGCGCACTATAGCCCAGAGGTGTGAATGCACAGATGACCACTCAAAGATCATCAGTTACAGGTAAGCAACCTGGTTTTTTGTAATCAAAAGCTGCAGTTTGTTGTTAGAGAGATCTTATTTTATTTCCTTTTACAGAAGCACCCGTGCCAAAATGGTGCCAGAAGTGCCTCATGGTATCAGCCCTATTTTAACAAAGAATCTTTTAAAAATAATTAACTTATGTAAACTGAAGCTTGTAGACTTCCTGTAAGTTTTTGGTTTGGGCAGTAGGAGTGAGTAGTGACCACTGTTTTAGGCATTGTGAAGGGGGGCATTAAAGGAACATATTTGTTCTTAGGACTTATGGAGTTGTCTGTGTGACCAAACAGTTGCAAGGTGGTATATAACTGGATGAGCTTGCAGTCAGTATGAATCCCACGTGACTTTAAAATATTGTTTAGAATGAAACTCGTGTAATCCTTGGACCCATTTTGAGCCTCGGCGAGAAAGGTGGGCTATAAATGAAATAAATAAGTTAGATGCCCAGGGCTTCGTGAGGAACTCAGATGCAAAACTGTTGATTCTCTTATGCAAATATCCAATTGGTCATGTGGATCAGCCTGCCTTCCAGAAGTCTGGGTGACAGAAAGTGCAGTGGCGCTAGAGGAAGAGCGATCCAGGAAACGACCCGCCCGTTACTCTAGCATCCTTTCTTAGTAACTTGGGAAAGTACCAGCTGAAGAGCACCCTGAGGAAGGATCAGCATGTCCTCTGTAAAGAAGCAGCCAAACAGAACGGAAGTACTGCCGCACTGTGAAGACCAACACTCATTCCAGCACGAGCTGTCTCTCGAGTCAGAGCTCATTTTTCAGATTCAGTGCCAAGTAATCCTTCGTCGCCAGCCATTTTTAGTTCTGCGAAAGGGTTCACAAATATGTGGACAAAGGTAGTCTGGTAGACAGTAGGTACTTGGACTTCTAAAAAGTTTTCTACCGAGTCCCTCCCCAAAGGCTCCTTAGTAAACCAGCAGGAAGAGGAGACGGTCCCACATGGATTAGAAACTGATCAGATGACGGGAAGCAGGGAGTAGGAATAACTGTACAGTTTCACAGTGGAGGGAGGTAGTCAGTGGGATTCCTTGAGGAGCTGTACTACGGCCAGCTCTATTTACTTTGTTCATATTTGATCTGGATTTGGGCACGATAGGAACAGTGAAGGGGCCAGTTGTGCAGGCAACTCCACATTACTCAGGACCAAGTGGCGATTGACCAGGAGTGAAATCTTGGTCATGAGGCATTGCTCAAGGAAAATGTGGGCTACAAAGTGTAGCCGCAGTAAAAAGGGAGAATTCTTTGCTAGGGATTACAAGAAAAGTATTGAAAACAAAATGTCCAGTATCGTCATTCCTTTGTGTTTGGAATATTGTGTGCTCTTGTAGTTGCTGTTTCTCAAGCTGCTGTCATACAGATATTCAAAGAGGACAGTGATACAGAAAAATACTGAGCTCTCTGGTGTGTACCACGTTGCAGACCTTCAGTCTTGAAATGGTTTGCTATGCAGTGCCATACTTATTTGTATCCTTGGAGTTAAAGATACCTTATATTAGAAATAAATGGCCAGCGTGATGTAGTGCAGGTATCATTCTAGCGTCTGGGAGACCCAGGTTTGAATCCCCACTCTGCCATGGAAGCTTGCTGGGTGGCCTTGGGCCAGTCACACACTCGCAGCCTCACCAACCTCACAGGGTTGATGTGAGGATAAAATGGAGAAGAGAAATGATGCAAACTGCTCCAGGTCTCCATTGGGGAGAATGGCTGGGTATAAGTGAAATTAAATGTTTTAAAAATTAAAACTTTTAAATAATTTAAAGACTTAGCAATACTTTTTTGAAATGGTTTAGAAAATCAAATTCAGATTCAGTTTCTGACAAAACTTTATTAATTAGTCATTGCAGCCATTTTTACAGGTGGTGTCCTAACTCCCGATTAGGAAAGTCGCCTCTCCGGCAGCTCCAGAAGGAGTCCCCGGAGTCAGGAAAACCTTTGCTAAAACACACACAATGAGGCTGTGTGTCAGTGACAGCAACAGCTGCCTTTAATGGCGTATCACAGCTTCATAAACCAGAAGAAGATACCAGTAGTCATTAACTCTTATTAATGCCAGCTCTCCTCTTGACAGCCAGGTACAGTGGCTGATGCATGACGGAAGCACAGGGTGTTGATTAGCTGAAGTCAAACGCCTTTAGAGAAGATTGCAGCAACCTAAGCAATATGGACATTTTTAGGTTTTTGGTTTTTTCCAGGTTGCTTTTTGGAAATAGTTGAGTTGATTCCCAACGATGGCCTCTCTTAAAATAAAAATGTGGAGCTGTCTTTTCTTTTTGTCCCTTAGGAGTTCGAAGTCTCAGGCACCGCCATCTCCCCTTCCTTGGAACACAGGAGGTTCAGAATCGGAGGATGAGTTTTTGATAGCAGAATCATTTGGGGGCCCCTCCACCTCTTGGCTTTTGCAACCCCCAAAGAACAACCTACCCAAGGAGAGGAGTTTAACTTCTCCACTGCTTGAATGTGACAAGGCAACCAAAGAGCATAGTGTGGATAACGTGCGCTGTGGGGATCATGTTCCAGTTGTGGAAGAGGACAACAGTCTTTCAAAGAAGCCACAATCCATTGCAGCTGCAGCCCTACAGTCATCCACCAGTAAACAAGTCAAGAAGCAAAAGTGTCCCAAAACTTTGCATCCGAAAAAGCAGGCACAAAGGCAAAGGAAGAATATTAAAAGGTCTGCCAGAGATATGAGGGTGAAACGCAGAGTGCTGGTTTTGGAGGAGAGCACTGAAAGCGAACCCAAAGAACTGTGCGTCAGACAGGCTGAAATGCCACCTGGGGATAGATTATCTCCTTTGGGGAAGAGAAGTGCTCATGTCAGTCAAACGTTTTTAGTAAGTCCTGAAGATGAGTGTGGCGGAGCATTAACCCAAGATGGGCCCTGTGAGGCAGGAAAAGCATTTCCATCCGCAGAACAGCAAAAGAGCAGGACACTGTCAGAAAAGTAAGTGTGTTTGTCCTTTTTGATGATATAGTGATTTGTCTTCGTGCACTGTTCACCATTTTTTGTTGCAGTAGAAAATGGCTTGAATCCAGCAACTTGTAGATACAGGGATCATAGAACTTTCTCTTTTCCTTTGCCCAGAAAAGTGGACTCCTGGGAACTGGAGAACCACATGGATCATGCTGGTCAGCGGTTGCCGTGTGGAGCCAGGAGGAAGACCAGACTGCCCTCCCGTACCTCCTCCACTGCTAAGGCAGGGAAGAGGGTTTTGTGTCCTGCTCCGCACTGCAGCCCCTGACCCACATGGCTGACCCACATTCACATGGGTCCCCTCGCCCTAGAAAGTGGAAACGATCTATGACTGTTTGATCACTGGACCCCTCCCCTTGGATGTGGGTCCTTACTAGAAACAGGAGACCTGACAAATGTGCTGCCGTCTCTGTCTCCAAGCAAGAAGTCAGACACTTGGTCTATCTGAATCCTCTGGCTTCAGGGCTGCGTGAGACTTGCATGTTCAAACCTCCTCAGACAAAGCAACTCTTTGAAATACCTTCTGAAGGTTCTTTGTGTGTCTTGGTTTCCTTTACTGGGGGGCACCCCCCCCCCCAGTTTCTCCCTGGTTCCTGCCTTTTGTTTTGGAAGGCTGGGCTGCAGTGAGTTCCCCACAGTCCTCCTTTTTCCTTAGACCAGTGTTGTTAGTTCTTCAATCGCTGGTCCTCAGATGTGAAAATGAAACCTGTGGAGTATTCTTTTGACGCCAAGTCTGACAGATTGATGTGCTGTAAGCTTTCATGTACTAGAGCTCCCTTCGCCTGAGAGCTTGTGCCACTGTAGATGTTATGGCGCCTTGCAGCATAATAGATTATGTTTTGTTTCAGTGGACTAATCCAGCTCTGCCTCTGGAATTGTTCCCTTCCTCCTGAATTCCAGCTGTTTCTCAGAGATGAATCTTCCTACTGCAGAAGCTCAGCTTGGTACTGTTTGGGGAGGGAGGTCTCCTCTCACTCAGAGGAGTAGTCAGAGAACTAGGAGACAGGGCTCCTCTCAGATCTTGCTAGAGGGTAAACAGCTGGCCTTCTTTCATGGTAGTCAGCCATGAGCGACACCATTGCAGTGCACCAAATTCAAGGCCTACCATCTCCAGTGGCGGCCGGGCCTCACTGCGTCAGCAGAGACCTTCTGCATCAGACCTCCGCAATGGCCGCGGGTCATTTGTGTGTACTGACTGTGAGGGCTTACCTGATTGTAGTGAGTTTAACAACTGTTTAATCTCTCTTAGGTGTTCTTTTGTACGAGCCATAAATATAAATGATCTCAGGTAAGTTTCCTTACTGCTTGTGGAATTTTTCATCTAAGTCTGTCAGCTAACAAGTTCTCTCTGTCTAGAAATGCACTGAAGGGCCTGCACTTTGGTGTAGTGGTAAGTGCGTGGACTCTAATCTGGGAGAACCGGGTTTGATTCCCCACTCCTCCACTTGCACCTGCACCTTGGGCAAGCCGTAGTTCTGGCACAGCTGTTCTTGAAAAAAAGCTGTCCTCGAAAGAGCTCTCTCAGCCCCGCCTACCTCACAGGGGGTGTCTGTTGTGTGGAGGGAAAGGGAAAGGAGTTTGTAAGCTGCTCTGAGACTCCTTTGGTTAGTGAGGGGTGGGGTATAAATCCAATGTCTCCTTTTCTTCTTTGGGATGAGAGATGTTATTGGGATTGGCTTTATTCCCCCGAGGAGTCTTTCCGCACCTTGTTTTTCAGTATACTTGGTGGTAGAGCTGGGTTTTTTTTTTGTGCTTGTGGTTTTTGCTGTGATCATTGAGTTCTGTTGGCTGGGAAACTCCCAGGGAAGGGGTTGTGGGGGGGGGGGGGGTGCAGGCAGCTTGAGATCTAAAAGCAAGTTTCTGGAAATGGTGCTCATTTGATCTTGTTTTGAGATGCCCTGTTGCATCATAGTTGAACAACCTGAGCACTAGGTGATTTATATGCCGTGCAGTTTCCCCCGGTTGCTCCAGAAATCTGGCGGTATCATCTACCAAAAAAACCCTGTGTTTCTGGGTACAATACCCCAGTCTAGAAAGCATAGCTTATTGATCAATATGAAGTGTTGAGAAATGAGTAATAACAGAGCTGTTGCAAACCCACTTGTTCTTTTAACTGGAACTTCAGTATGAGGCTGATGTGAATCCGGGCACGTTCCTGACCTAGGATGTGGAACCAGTTTGCATCAGCAGGTGAGAACTGCAGCTCATGCTTGATTTCCCAACTGGGCTTAAAGCCCCTGCACCTGAATTCCTTAACGCTTGTGACCATGGTCTGTTGTGCGTGGACTGCAATCCACTGTGTGCCCTGGGAGTGCTGCCCCAGTTCCAGGGCACCCCCAGCCGTACTGTTTAATGTGACATTGCTGTCTGCAGTGGGAATCAGCAAAAATCCTGTTGTCTCAGCAGGCAGAGCTTTTGCAGGTGACGCACCTTTAGTTTCAAGTGCGGGAGGCTGGTGCTTGTGCTAACTCCTATGGCTCTGTTAAAAGATGTGTGAAAAGATATGGTGTCCCAACACTGATACAGTGCCTCGTTTAAGGAAGTCTTTTCCCGAGGCGCCATACCAAAGTAGTTTCCAGGCTGTTCCTTTGTAAGGCATATATATTACACCTAAATAGCTATTTAGCATTCATTTTACACTGTTCACTCGGACTTAGCTTCATGGTGAGGAAAAAGTGAGTGCCGACCGTCTTCAGTCCGAGTCCTTAATTGATTGGGTCTGGACGAGGTACAGGTGACCACAAATCAGGGGCCAAGTTGCTAACGGGGTGGGGTGGGTGGGGGGAACAAGGTCTAGATTCCCTGGGATCAATTTCTTTTCTTTTGTTTCATTTTTATTGAGTTTTAATATATTATGGGACAAAAAATATATGGGTGGGAAACTCCAGTTTGAACTATAATTAGACTCTTATCAGGAAACAGAATATGTCAGCAACTAAGTGATACTAACCGTAATAATTATACAAAGAAACAGAACTGGAAACAAAGAATTAAGACTGAAAATATGTAACAGCTGTTATACAAATTTGATGAAATTTTCCTTTATCTCGTATCCCACACCTTGCACCCTTCCCTGGGGTCAATCTCTACTTGTTAATGGTGTCCTATTAATTGCATGCAGCCATAGTTCCCGTTGCCTGCCAGGCAATGAGATGAGGGGTAATGGACTTAGTAGAGAGCGATGTTTGAGCAAAATACTTACGAGTAATATTTGCTGGGCATCACAGCTGTTCAGCTATAGAACATGCTGCATTGGAAGGCTGACACAAAGGATTCTCTTTCTTGGAAGTTTTGCAGGGAGAGCTCTTGATACAGAAGTGTGTGTTTTGTGTCAAAGGAATAGCTGCACTGTGTACTAGAGTCCCTTTCCGTTTGTTCTAGATTTATCTCTGGTGAGCAGCGTTCACTTAAAAGGATATAAATGTGTTGCTTGTTGCTGTGTTCTGTGATCTCATCTCCTCTAAACAAGGGCCTCTTTTTTTTTAAGTGGTCCCGTCTACAACCAAAACGATAAAGTGTCATTTGAACGTGAAATTATGATTAGAGGCAACATGGGAGATAAATTTTTAGGTAAGGCCAGTCTCTGTTTACTATATGTACATGTGGAAAGAGATTACTGATGTATCTATCTTATACACTGGTAAATGAAGCAAGCCTAATGCACGTTCCTGGAAATAGCCTCTGCTCTCCCCCCCCCCCCCCCCCCGCGAGATTAAAGCCAGAAGAGGCAAATGAATGTCCAGACAGAGCCCCATGTTCTAGTTCATACTCCTTTTTTGCTTAGCTGCAAAATTTACCATTTTTAGTTTTGGCTAGCAATCAGTAAGTCTTGGCTAATGGCTGCAAAACTCGATTTTCTGTGTTGTGCAGAAGTAGATTTTGAGGCCAACCCCCAATTTTGGGAAGAAAGGCATGCTTCATCTTCAAATTTTTCAAGGTGTCTTAGGCTCCAGTCTCATTCAGAAAAGTATCCTGACAATTTTCATGTTTTTATGAATAAATAATTGATGCCCACATATCTTTTATATAAAAATGTAAAAACACCCCATAAGGTATTAGTTCTTCATACAGAATACTTGTTCTTTTGCCTCTGACAATCAAATCTGATAAGTTGAGACTGGAGGCTTTCCAGTGTTTGGAATATTTTACACAGGATGAGGTGGCTCGGGGCAAGAGTAGACATTTGTATACCTGAGGGAGCTCCCAGGTTTGCAAAGGAAAAAAAGCAAAACCCTCAGACATATTCTAAAGTTAAGACCTAAAAAGAATAGCAGCATAACTGCAGACATTGCAGCAGGAAGCATTCTGGTGGCATTCGGGGTTTCTTTAGCCACTCAAATGATACCTACTGCTGGAAGGGAATTGGGGTGGGAAAAGGGCTGGTGAAATAAAAACTGCAGGGGATGTGAGGGAGGAGAGAGAGTAGTGGGTGGGGAGAGTGGCCGGGGTATTGAGAAGGGTTTTTAAAAATCGGGTGCGCGAGAGAGAGGGTGGATGTGTGACTGAAGGGCGAGTAATGGAGGGACAGACAGATTGGGTGGATGGTTGGCAAGGGGACTGGGAAGGGGGGGGTGAAGGAGGGTTGGTGGGTAAGTGCACTGGAGTGGAATGACAGGGGAAGGGGGGGGCTGGCCCAGTAGCGTCTTGGGAGGGGTTTGGGGGGGACTAGTGGGACAGATAATTAGATTACCCTTCCACCCAAATCCTGATAGTTCCCCAACTTGTATAGCACTAAATCAACCAAAGAATTCTCTAATGTTTTGCATGTGAATAGAGGTAATCTGATGCCGCATACCTAGATTTTAAAAACAGTGTTTGACAAATTCTCTCCAACTGCTTCCAGTGAGTTCAGCCCTGACTGGCCTGAGAAATATTTAAAAGATGAGTAGTATAGGGAACAAATATAGGGACTATCAGTGAGTAGATGTAAACAGAGTGAGTGAGAGAGAGAGAGTGAGTGTGAGAGAGAGCGAGAGAGAGAGAAGGGGAGATCCCACAAAATCTGTTTTAGGTCAGTGATATGAATCTGAGGTAAAAATTGAGATAGCCAAGTATTTACTTCTAGTTTACAAAATTTATACCCCACCTTTCTGCCCTCATAAAGCCCACCAAGGTGGCACCACAGTCACAACAGGAAGTGTACAGAGGTTAATATGAACAAGTCATGAAGAAGTGGGAAAAGTTCTCCCTGCATCAAGTGACTGGATGGAAAGTCTGATGGGCTATATTTAGTGTAATCGGGTCAGCAAATCCTAACTTTATGTTAGATAAGTAGGGTTGAAATATGGTTGCAGCCATCATGGAAAGAGATCTTGGGGTTCATCCTAAAAAGCTTATAGAAAACACTGGACTCATGATGTGTGGCAGCAAAACAGGCACATTCAGTAGGAGGAGGAGGTCCCTTGGATTTGCACAAGGACTTAATGGTGTAAGACTTACAACCCCTTTGACACTCCCCAACAAACTCTATTAAATATGCTTTTGACGGAAAAGGCCAGCAAATTTGGCTATAAAAATTCATTTTACTCCCCCCGTGAAATATACTTCCTTGTCAATTGTGTTTCCATTTCTGGTTTTGATTGCTGATCTGTAAAGCTTTAGCATTTTTAGGTTGCTTTATGTGCAGTTTGAATGGATACACCTGGTTTCATCTATCTTAGAAGGAGTTATCCCTAGAAGCATCTAAAATCTGTGTTATTTTATTAGAGCCATCTGTAGCCCTGGAGGAGGACTTACTGCCTTCAGATTCATTAAAGGATAAAGTCGGTAAGGTTTTATTGCTGTGTTGTCCTTTCTACCCTGAGTCACTATTAATAGTTATGAGCCTGTAATCGGTGTCAATAACTGGGCTTGTGGGAATTCTATGAATTCAAGGAGAACAGGGTAAAAGGTTTGTTTCATCCCAAATGCTGGCACGTTTTGAACTCCAAACAACATTTTAGGAGAGGTAAGATTTTCAGAGGGCTTCCTTGCTCTCCTAACAGTTCCTTCAGGGATTCACTCTCAGGTTTGAAGAGAGTTCAGATGGAAACAATTACTCAGAATTAACCTCACCACTAACCGCAGCTTAAAACCTCGACTGTGGTAAAACCTGCAGATGCACAGCAGGCAAGCCGTGGTTTAAAGTGCTGCCGTGCTTGTGGTTGTCTGCATGACACACAGTTGGGTGCAGCACCCTCTAGATGGAGCGGTAATGGACATGACTATAACTTCTCATCTAGCTCTCATGCCACACCATAGTGAAGATTTAGATTTGGCTTCCAGAAGTGGGCCTTTAGAAAAGTGTTTTGTGATGAATTGGTTCAGTTCTATGACTGAAGTGGGGAAAAAATTCTAGGACTGACATTTGTTGGGTTCCCAAATGTGCAGCCTTGAGTTGTGAAGTGTGTGGCTGAGAAATGGCCTGTACACATGGCCATCTGTCTCTCTTTTCTGCTGTTGTAAGGACTTAACTGCCCTGATCTGGATAGCCCAGGCTGATCCAATCTCATCAGATCTTGAAGCTAAGCAAGGTCGGCCCTGGTTAGTACTTGGGTGGGAGGCCACCCAGGAAACCCAGGGTTGTGAGGCTGAGGCAGGCCGTGGGCAAAGCCACCTCTGGACGTCTCTGGCCTTGGAAACCCTACGGGGTGGCCATAAGTCAACCGTGACTTCATGGCACTTTCATCCACCACCAAGGACTAGGGGTGTGCGTTTGCTAAATCTGAGCCGGAAAAATATCCGAAAAATGCCTTATCGGTATTTTCCAGATATTCTTTTAGTCAGATATTTATTTCAGCATTTTTTCAGCTATCCAAAATGGCAAGCCCCCAAAATCCCGAAGGGTATAATGTAGCTGAATTTTTTTGGGGATTCTGAAGAATTCCTGAATTTGAATACCATACCGGCATTGAGATTTGGGAATATTGGAAAATACCGATATTTTTCGGTTCCAATATACCTGAACCCAACAAATACTGTGGTTTGTCTTTTGCACACCCCTACCAAGGTCTTAACTTATGTAGATCCATTTTATTTATTTCTTAGTAAGGCCACCTGAGAACACAACCCATCATCGTCAAAGCAAACGACTGCGGCTTAAACCTTTAGAGTACTGGCGTGGGGAGCGTGTGATGTACAAGAGGAAATCTTCAGGTATTGGATAATGCATTCCAGTGTGGCATAGTTGAAGCATCTGTTTTTCCCAGGTGTGTCAAATTCAGTGCAGTGCAGCTTACACTCTGGGAAAAAGAGTGTGCTAACAGTCCAGAGGCACCTTAAAGACTAACAACATTTATTTCAGTAGGTACTTTTGTGAGTCACTGCTCACTTTAGATATGCATGGAGATCCAACTGAGAATCCTTTTCATGGGGCAGGTTATGGGGGATAAGTTAAGGTGGAGGGTTAATTCAGTCATGAGTCTTTCAAGTGCAAATTCACTGTGTGTGGGAAAAGGAGGTATAGAAGTGGTAATTGCATTATAAAACCTCAATGTATGTCTGAAACAGAATTAGCAGTTACAGATAATAGGTGATGAGAGAGCTCCGAGGTTCAAACAGATAAGTAAAGTGATTGGTTTAAGTGAAAACAAACTGATACTAGATTATAACCTGGTACCCGCAAAACACGTTAAGAGTACCCAGTTAAAATTTCTATAAAGTGGGTCTGTAGAGAGGTACTGATTATAGTCTCTAACAACTCTGATACTTACTTCATTTATAGTCCACTTTTCTCACTGAGACTCAAAGAGGATTACAAAGTACAAAAAACAATTCAATCAGACATCATAAAACATCCAATAAACAGTGTAATAGGATTAAATGTGCAGAATTAGAAAACAAACAAAAACTGTCTAAGGAATGACATGTCATAATGCAGAATGTGGATTACAACGGTAGAAAGAAATGCAGTAAAAACACAGGGAAGCACAGAACAGAGTATAGTCCTCCTGTTCCCTAATAGAAGCACCCTCTTGAGCTGTGTCTGATGCACTGGGTCAAACTGAGTTGATGAGAGATGAAGTTTTATGACTATCAGCCAAGTAAAAAGTGAATGAGTCTGCAGGTCCAGATGGCATACACTCCAGAGTTCATAAGGAACTCAGATGTAGAATTGTTCATCTATTAGCCAGCATATGTGACTTCTCACTAAAATTGGCATCCATGCCGGAGGAATAGAAAACAGCAAATGTCACTCTGATTTTTAAACAGAAGTGCAAAGGGGATCCAGGGAATTACGTATCAGTAGTACGTGAGATTGATGCTAGGGTAGTACTAGAAACTCTTGGTAAAAATTCAGTTAAGGGCATTGAGGAGCAAAGCCTGCTAAGGGAAAATCAGCATGGTTTCTGCAAAGGGAAGTCCTGTCTCACCAACTTTTTGGCGTTATCTGAACAGGTTAAGAAACATGCTTTTGACAAGGTACTTCACCAAAGAGAAAGGTTAGCAGTCTGTCATATCCCTGGTCAGGTACTCTTAGCAACACTCTCTTTTGGCAGTGATATGTTTGTTGAGATGTATGCATGATCCAGAACATCAGTTGTGTTAGAACCAAAGACTTTTGGCGGGCATAAGCTTAATATAGGTAATTCAAACAAAGCCCCTTCCTACCCCCAGACACACGTAACACACACACACACCACGCCTGGTGTTGCCATCTCAGCCAAGTGGGAAAATACATGCTTGGGTTATTTACTGCAAAAGGCTGGTACCAAAAAGCACATCAAGGACAGCCCCCCCCCCCCCCCCGGGAAAGAGAGAGAGGAGGTACATCTTGCGAGGAAAGTTATGGCTTCTAAAAGCAAAGGTTCCCATTCATCCACTCACCCCTCCCCCCAGGAAATCCCTCCCCCCAATAACTATTGCAACCTAAGCAAGCAATGCGAAGCAAGGTTTGACACTGTCATTGGACATAAGGATGGGTCCTTGTACGGATTAAAAATTGCAGAGTAGGACCCAAGGAATAAATGGACAATCCACCATTTTCTCCAGAGGAACTGATCTCTGCTACCTAAAGAAGAGTTGTAATTTTGAGTGATCTCCAGCCCTCACCTGGAGATTGGCAATGATGGTTCCCCAGAAGGGAATGGTTGGTTTGGAGGGTGGAGTCTATGGCTTTGTACCTGTCCGAGGTCCCATGCCTCCTGAAACCTCACCCTCTCCAGGCTCCATCCCTCTCAATCTCTCCAGGAATTTCCCATTTGGAGTTGGCAACCCTATCTCCTTCCCAGCCAGTCATCAACCTACCTTTATTTCCCCCTCACTCTTCAGCTTTCCACCCCACACACACCTGCAGTCTTTCCCGTGCTCTGAAGCCCTGACTGCTACATCACATTGGCTGTCATACGGGGGCCACCTCAGCAGCATATAAGGATACAGAGCCCACCATTTTCGCCAGAGGAACTGATCTCTGCCATCTGGAAAGCAGTTGTAATTCTGAGTGATCTCCAGCCCTCACCTGGAGATTGGACACATTTTACCTCAGAAGAGCAAACTGTTAAGAATGTTAGAAGCAAAAGCCAATCAAGTCGCATATGCAAATGACTTCTGTGTTCCAAGGGAAAGGCCAATGAGGCTGCATATGCAAATAACCTCTGTGTTCTGACTGGCTATGGGGGGGGAGGAACAGCAAACTGTTTAGAATGTTGGAGGCGAGACCCAAGCAATGCAGCCAGTGGATAGAGACAGATTCTGAGTGACACACACCAGGGCGCCAACCAATTCCGGAGCGTGTGGAGTGTTCTAGAGAAGTGCCACCACCATTCGGCTTTTATATATAAGGGAGACTTATACTTGGATTACTATGTATAGTTCTGATCACCATATCTCAAAAAAGACACTGCAGAACTGGTAAAGTACAAAGGAGGGCAACCAAGATAAATAAAGGTTTGGAGTTTGTTTTCTATGAGGAAAGGCTGAAGAGTGGAAATTTTCAGTATGGAAAAAAGATGACTGAGGGACATAGTAGACGTTTATAAAGTTACACGTGGGGTGGAAAAATGGAAAGAGGGAGCTCTTTCCCCACTCCCATAATACTAGAACTCTTGAGGGCACCCAGTGAAATCTGTGGGCAAGAGTGTTACCACCAATGGCCTGCCTAGTTGTTGAGGGAAATTAGCTATGCGGAAGGAGAGGTCAGAGGGTTACAGAATTCGCACACCACTTGTATACCAAGGTCCGGTACAGTAGGAAGACTCCAAATTTGAAGAGTAAATTAATTTTTATTGGAGAATTTCCCTAATGACAAACACACTAAGCATTCAAAACGAGCAAGCAATACAGAACTAAGAAAGTAGAGGTGATTGATAGCGAATAGAGGGTTTGGTTATGGGGTAAGACAACCTGTCCAGACATGCAGGGGTCCATGGAGATGAGATTATGGCCCAAACCAAAGACTTAGGGGTGAACTGCCAGTTGGCATCGGGGCAAACTGTCAGGTTCAACAGCAAGTAAATCTTCAAACACATTTCCAGGGAATCGCTATACTTTATTAGACTGCAGGTCTGTTGACATGATCCACAGGCATATTGTTAGGAATGACAATGGGGCGGATGCATCCCTTCATATAGCATGATGCTGCAAATGGCTAAGCAAATGAAATCCAAGCGCGTGCGCGGGGGAATTCTCCCGGCGGGAGGTTACATAATAAACGGGAGAGTCTCCGTGCCTCATGAGAGCAGAAAGATTCACACCAATGGTGGAACGCAAGCCCTCCCTCTTCCTCAAGGTTAGTCTGATAACCCAGTCTGGCATTGCCAGTTCTCACGGTCTCAGGAGCACCTCCCTATCGCTGTTTACAGCAAGCGAGCAAGCATGCGCCGTGGCGCCACAGTCAGGAAAGGACATATATGAATGAAACATGGCAGCTAGCTGACATCCTGCCCCCTCAAAACCACATCAACCTCCTCCCGGAGCGGCCGAGAGACCTCCCGGTAATGGCCGTGGAATCTCCGCAAAAGGTAAGGGCCCGAACATCCTTCCCCTCCACCCATTCCCGATGTTGGGGACCCCAATGCACCCATTCCACCAGATAATACAGTCGTCCACGTTTCATTTTAGAGTCCAGAATGTCTGAGATTTCGTAATTTTCTTCCCCCCCCCCCAGGGGGGGGGGGGGGGGGGCATTGCCAGTTCCGGGCGCCATTGATTAGTTTCTGGACTGGTTTTCAATAAGCTGAAATGGAAAATTGGATGGACATGTTTTAGGTTCTTAGGCAAGTCCAATTCAACAGTTACTTCATTAATCAACTGTACCACTTTAAAAGCACCACTGTATTTCCATGCCAATTTCCGACAGGACTGAGAGAGTCGTAGAAGTAGAAGAGATTGGATTTATACCCCGCCCTTCACTACCCAAAGGTGTCTCAGAGCGGCTTACAAACTCCTTTCCCTTCCCCTCCCCACAACAGATACCCTGTGAGGTGGGTTCTTTGTGGATACATATACCTGATCTCCAGGCTTCAGAACCCAACCCTCCACCCGTTTCTTGTCAGCCTGGTGCTTGTAAGCTCCCTTGGCAATGTCCATCGTCTCACATATCTTTGGTCACGAATCCCTTAATGCTTTACACCAGTCAGATGCCTCCCCCCCTTTTCTGGGGTTTGTGGTTAGAAAGGGAATCGGGGGGCTGTCGTAGCCGAGAGCTGCTTTGAATGGTGATACCCCTGTAGATGAGTGGTGAGCATTATTATAACAAAATTCAGCTAAAATCAGTAATTCCACCCAATCGTCTTGTTGATAGTTTGTGAAACACCGTAACTTGCAGGGCTCTTTTTGTAGCAGGAGCTCCTTTGCATATTAGGTGACACACCCCTAGTGTAGCCGATCCTCCAAGAGCTTACAGAGCTCTTCTTACAAGGGCTACTGTAAGCTCTTGGAGGATTGGCTACATTAGGGGGGTGTCGCCTAATATGCAAAGGAGTTCCTGCTACAAAAAGAGCCCTGAATTGTCCGTAAGTATTGTTCAAGTGTTTGATAAACACGTTCCGACTGCCCATCAGTCTCTGGGTGGTAACCACTGCTCAGCCCCCGTTCTATCCCCATGAGTTCCCGCCAGAATCTCGAAATAAATTGGGAGTCCCTGTCCGTTATTATTTTGTTAGGCAAAGTGTGTAGTCTGAAAACATGTTTGAGGAATGCTTTAACCAACGTCCGTG